GAGTAGTAGTCAAACCAACCTCAACCGAATGAATGCTACCGATGTCAGGAGACATGTTGAGGTTGGATGACTTCAAAGCAGTTCCTATTAGAGGGGAGGTGTTCTGTGAGGACATCTGTATGGTGTCTCTGGTGACCTCTTTAGGAGATACCCGGTGTCAGTCAGAGCGCAGTTCTCCACCTGGCCATTGGAGGTCTGCATGTTGCCCAGGTCCCAGATCTCTGCACAGCCCAGCAATGCCTCAAAGAACTCCAGGAATGTCATCTAGAACCAGGTTCACCATAAAAGAAAGTTGGTGTCTCTCAACTGCCATATTCCCATCTATCATAGACATTACCAATGTCCGTTATTTACTCTCATTTTTTACCGTCAACCGATTAGACAATTGCACATATTTCCATGCATATATATATACACAGATGCCTGACCTACCAGAGGCTTCGCTAAATGTCAATGAGACTAGACTGTTTAAAATCCTGTCAGGTGCCGAGAGCGTTTGCAAAGTCCACAGCGCGACTCCCGGGCAGTGGCAGTCCAACCAGGTCAAGAGAGGAATCAGCCTGGACCACTGTACCACCACCGTGTCCTCAAAGGTAACTACAGTCAGTCAGGTCACCTCAAACGCCTAGGTCACCTCTAGATCCACGTTGTAGTGGGAGTGGTTGTAAACAGCAGGGTTCTCCACGGAGACGATTTCCAGGAGTTTTCCTGTATTCATCTCAGAATCAAACAGCCCAAGGTCCTGGTGGTTGAAGGAAAAACCAAGCCTTATTCACCTTTTAATAATGTCTACCGGGGTCGTTCCCGGGAAACGCAGGGCTCTTAATATGGGCCATAATTGTGTACAACGCTGTTTATTATTGAGTTACTACATGGTCTCTGACATTAGTTAAGTCTTTATAGCAGAATGAAAGACAGTGGCGTTACCTGGAACATCCATATTAAGTCCCTCACAGTCATCGTCCGATCGCCTAATGGGGTTGGATTGACTCTGCAGAAAGCCTTGTAGATGTCCCAGCTCTTCTCAATGTATTTACCAGCGTTCATGGCGAGCAGAGAGTTGGGGAACAATCGCCCTGCGTTCAGAGTTTACAAGACGGGGAGCGTGAACGTGGGGAGGTGTCGGGAACAAGTTAACAGTGGAGCCCGTGTACGCACGCACGTTCTACCTTTTACGTCCATTGCATTAGGGATGATGTTCTCCCTCATCAGCTTGGAAAAACAGGACACCAACATGTTCTCAGAGGGGCTGGAGGATAAAGCGCAGAGGCTGAATAGGCGTAAAGTAGGCGAATGGTGAAATGTTGATACGAGGTTATAACTAGTATTATCAGTGTGATTACACAATAGGAGACGTGCTTTACTTACTCTATGTCCTCACGGTAAATGTTATAGGCCAGAACTACAATGACGCTGAGGAACTTCCTGAGAAGCATGGTGCTGAAGGGGGAATGAATCTCTGAAGGGGCATTCTGAGCTTTAAAATAAGATGAATAGTCAAATGTAACGGTGGGAATGAACGAAACAGGATGGACGCGCGACTGACGCGGTTATTCGTCGCCTCACCACGGACGCAGCGGTCGATCCGGGCCAGGGTGACGCCACGATTGTGGACGCGGCAGTCAACGAGGAGTCTCCAGAGCTGCAGTCGGGACAGCAGGAACGTATTGTCCGCAGACTGATCGCGGCCCAGGCTGCTGTAGTAGCTATAGATGGTCCTCAGCTCACCTATGTGTCTCAGCACCGCAAACTCCACCTGGCACAGAGAGAAAAGCACAACTGCTCACAAACTCCACCTGGCACAGAGAGAAAAGCACAACTGCTCACAAACTCCACCTGGCACAGAGAGAAAAGCACAACTGCTCACAAACTCCACCTGGCACAGAGAGAAAAGCACAACTGCTCACAAACTCCACCTGGCACAGAGAGAAAAGCACAACTGCCGAGGTGATTACAACATGGAATTGTATTTGACAAGTGAATTTACACATTTTCATTGATTTCCGTAATGCTGTTCTAATCGGTCCCACAGACCTGCTTGAACGTTTGTTCTCTCTGGTTCTCCGGGAGGTTCTCCAGTAAAGAAGAGATGTCCAGGGCAATATCAGGTCCGAGCAGGGCTGGCCTACTGACAGGGTCTTCCTCCGATGCTCTTCTAGGAGATTCTACTGAAAAAAATATAGACAACACAGACTTTACACACAATGAACCAACAAGAACAGCCCAGACGGTTAATCCACAAGTACAGAGGGACCAGTGAGCTTACCATCATCAGAACGTGCAGAGTGTGTTCTAATCCTGCTCAGGTCAGGAGTGTTTGAACCATTCAGACGGAACGCTGGGAACTCGGCCATGTGGTCATTCACAAACTCCCCTTCAAATATTTGCCCATTTTTGAAAATGAACTTTCCCTAAAAGTAATAGGGTTATTATTTACACACAACGCTGACCTTTAATAACGGCAATAATATATCAGCGTTTCCCTCACTTTTTACCTGTCCATGTTTTTTGTTGCTCTTCCAGTCTCCTTTGTAAAGAGCCCCGCTGGCATAACAGAAGCTGCCTTTGCCATGCCTTAGCCCTTGGACAAAGTTCCCACTGTACTCATTCCGACGAGGATACTGAGAGCCAGGCACTCTCTTCAGGAACCACGTGTGGGTTCCCTGTCCGTGCTGAAAGGCAAAAGAGGATTTACCAACGAAACGTGACAGTTTGACGTGACTTTCAATTGAACCTGTTCGTTCGATTTGTTCGTGCTTTTTCTAAAGCATATTAATGTTTATTTATTTATTTCTCATAACATTGCAAGTATTTGGTTTGACTACCTGGACCCCATTCTCCCATGCTCCAGTGTACTGTTGACCCAGTTGAAGCCAGCTCATCTTCCCTTCACCATGTCTCACATTGTTTCTCCACTGGCCCTCATACAGGTTCCCAGAGGGGTAACTGGTACCAGAGAAAAAACATTTAAGTTGCATGACACTGATATTATACAGAAACAGACAGTTGATGGGAGGTCCATTGCATGTGTTGTATTGTTTGTTTCTGTATAATATCTGTGTCATGCAGAAACAGACATTTGAGTTAACATACCGTCGCACTCCCCAACCCTCTCTCTTATTGTTGACCCAGTCTCCTTCATACCAGGACGTCTCCTCCAGGTTATAGTAAATTATGCCCTAGCAAAACAAACATCCTATAATAAATTAAATATTGCCAGTTGAAGCACAGGTTTATTGGATTACAAACGGGAAGAGAATGCAACAGTGTCATACCTTTCCTTGTCTTTCGCTGTGATGCCACTGCCCACTGTATTTTACTGAGGCGTTGGCACATCTGAATGCCCCCACACCGTGTCGGAGACCCATACACACCTCTCCTACATAACAGCTACTATCCAGCCAGGTATACGTCCCATGGCCCATGGGTATATTACGGGCAAACTCCCCCTGTCAAATAATGACTGACAGCTTAATGCAACACAACGACACTGTAATAATATTTAAGAACCATGCATGTTATAATATAAAGGTGGTGCTATCGTTACCTCATATTTTACTCCATCTGCCCAGGTATAAACACCATGTCCTTGCATGAATCCATTAGAAAACGTACCCTGGGAATACAAAGAATGATTTGTTGTCATATTTGCTGGTTTATTTGGGGCAGAATGTGATTTAAAAAATGGAACTCATACACATAAGAAATTAAATACCTTATAGACATGTCCTCCGTCCAAATATGCCACACCTTCACCATGGAACTGCTTTAAATACTTCCCTCCCTCATACCTGGGTGAAGGGTGAATCATATCATGTAGCCAAAGTAGACTTTAGATTCTGACTGCAAATATAATATAAAAAATATATATGTTATATATTATTATATATATGTACAGCGATACGTAATGGGTTACCTCTGGACAATAACATTAGGTAGAAAAGGGACCTCATCGAATTCCTCTTCACTTCCATGAAGTTGTTTGTCGACGAGTTGTCGTTGGGACGGAAACCAAGCAGTCATTGGAGTCGGTGTGGTTTACACACGCTTGATCTAAAGCATGTGGTCCGGAAGTACCACCAACATGGGAGAAATTCCCAGAAAATCCACTAACTGAGTTCTACAGATTCGTTTTCTCCGGTACTTATTTTAATCGCCCTTTGTATTGCTTTCAGTCGATCACGAAGAAGCACTTCCGTAAACACACCGTGCCTAGCAACGGTGGCGCCTGTTACTATGGAGATCTTCTGGATAGAATAATCAGTTAAAGAGACACGTTTTTACCAACTCAAAAATACATACATCCAAATCAATGTTCTATTAAAACAGCAGTATTGTGTTTGTTATTTTATTAAGAATGTACATTAAAAATGTTATAAAAATAGTTCACATTTGAAAGCCGGAAATTAACATACAGTAGATAAAACATGGAATATATATAACTACGTAAAATCACATTATCATTTGAAAACAGTGAGGGTTAGACTTCAGGACTGAACTTTAATAGTCATCGCTAATGAAAGCATCCTGAATTTTTGTAGTAAAATTTCTAACAACCTCGATTTTACATGATGACATAAGTGGCTTTAAGTAACAATACTACCTATTCAGTTATGTAAAGCAATACACTTAAACACCCCTGGGTAATTCCCAGGAAGAAACTCATTCAAAACAGCATGGCGTTACCATAGAAAACAAGTCAAATGTAAATTCAAGTTGTAGAATAGAATGCATTTCCGTCAGAAACCAAAGTAACTTTCAGTCTTGTGAGATGATGTTCAGATTTGCCAGATGTCTTATGGTGGGTCTGCCATGAGGACAGTTCCATGGCTGCTCAATCTCCCCCATATGCATCACCAGCTTCTTCATTTCACTGGTGCTCAGAGCAGTACCAATCATCACCTTAAGAGGGAGACAAAACACTAACTCATTGGACGAGCGCTCAGAATGTGCATTATTATTTTTTTTAACCAGGTAGGCCGATTAAGAACAAATTCTCATTTGCAAGCTGGTGATTGAACCCAGGACATCATAGATATAAAGCATGCACTTTACCACTGAGCTACCAACAAGTATATCTGGAGAAAATACAAAACACTTTTGAATTTTGTCATCATTAAAAAAGTATACTGTCCAAAATCACTCATCCAGGTTTTTAAAAAAATAACAAAAGTTTATTACTGCATAACACAGAGCTGAAGCATTTCTACAAAACAGGATGTAAAAACAATATATAATATATTTATATATAAAAACAATAAATAGTTAAAAATGCATGAACCTAAAACTCACTGATTTTCTGCAGGCCCTGGAAGCAAACATCTGCCTGACACGAGAAGGCCGACACATTACTCCTGGGCTGTCGCTCAACATGAAGATGAGCTCCTCAATGTCACCAGGACCAAATGTCCAGTTCTTACTGGTAGGCAGGGAGACCAGCTTCACCCGGTCCATCACCTGAGCTGGAACACAGCAGAATGGAATTCAGAACCAGACCAAGTGGGGCACGACCAGGAATTATACATAAAACCTACTCTGTGTATATAGATACGAACAACACACAGTTGTGATGAACACTATTAATAACATGTGGAATTGGGTAACCCAATTACAGATTACATTATTTTATGTAATATGCCCAGATTATGTAAAACATTAGAATAATCCCAAACATATCAGCAATGGTGTCACATAGCATTTAATTAACACTTTCCACATACTCTCAGTGATTTTATTAGTATTCTATTGGAACCGTATTTTGGCAGTAAACTATCGCAATAATTAATTACTTTTTAACCAATATCTATGATGATAGGATTAGACAGCACATACAGATATCATATGAAATCATCCTATTTGATCATGTCATAGCAAGACTACTCCACAAAATAAAGTGCCATTTCACTCACCGTCCTCGTCTATGAGAAAATCAAAGCCGTTTTTCCGGAAGATATCAAGGTTCTCCATGAGAACGTTCTCACTGATCGCCGTAAGGTGAAGATTCTGCGGGCTGGATGAGGCAAAAGGTACATTTCACTTCTACGGCTACATTTTAGGTTGTGAGAATAACCGAGTGAAATGTTTAACTGGGATTACACTATAAGCCTCTGGCCTTGCAGTACGTTGTGCTGCTGAAGCATCTCAAAGTTGTACTTCTCATCCGTGGCATGTTGGTCGATCATAAAGATGTCGTCGTGGAGTCTGGTGATGACGAATCCCAAGTTAAACTGCCCGATTATCTCCATTTGCTTGAAACTGTCTTTGCTGTGGAATGACACGAGATTATTTACAGACTGCGTCAAGAACTATCCATTATAAATTCCTTACCATGAGACACTTCAGATACGCAAAAAAGACAAGAAAATCAAGACGGTTTCTGCATTGATCTGCAAAGATAAATGACAAAACAACTTTTTTGGTGCAGTTCATCTAATTTTGCCCAGTTAATACGCATCTCAGATCCATGTACAAAGCTCTCAATTTCTTTACGTTCCTGGACAGTCACTAATGTTTTTTAATTCCAGTCGAGCACCTTATTCAACATTTCGGCTGGGAAAAAGCATTTTTTGCATAAACACATCACTCAATTTTATTACTGGCTACTCAGCCCTAAACTACCCTGAAAAAGACAATTACATATATAACACAGTGTATCACTTCTGTGCCATGACAACATCTGACAGCAGTAGACACCCTACCTACCAGATCTCCTTCAACTTGTCCCCATAACATCTGACAGCAGTAGACACCCCACCTACCAGATCTCCTTCAACTTGTCCCCATAACATCTGACAGCAGTAGACACCCCACCTACCAGATCTCCTTCAACTTGTCCCCATAACATCTGACAGCAGTAGACACCCCACCTACCAGATCTCCTTCATCTCATCCCCATAACATCTGACAGCAGTAGACACCCCACCTACCAGATCTCCTTCTTCAACTCGTCCCCATAACATCTGACAGCAGTAGACACCCCACCTACCAGATCTCCTTCATCTCATCCCCATAACATCTGACAGCAGTAGACACCCCACCTACCAGATCTCCTTCTTCAACTCGTCTTCTGCACTCTGGTTCTCTCCTGGGCTGATCTTGGCCCTGAAGCGCCTGTAGTGCAGCTGGTCTTCAGCCTTTTCTCTCTGCTGTTGCTGTAGCCTCCTCAGTGTGCCAACTAGGTCCTGGAAGGAGAACTGCAGTGGCACTGCCCTCTTTTGTAAACAGACTGGGGCATCAATCTTAGATCCACAGGACACCTCTGGGCCGACAGAATTTGTGTTCATGTTCTCCGAGGGCAAACAACCCTCTTCCAGTTTGGCTTTCTTGGCATGGGGAGCGATGTTCATCTCCTCAGAGGCTTCCGGAAGTTCTGGTTCAATCTGCCAGTCTAAGTTCCCCTCGTACGTGCCTTCCTCATCCAAAGTATGATCGAGCGCCTCACTTTCTATATCTGGTTTGTCACCTGTTGCATCCTCTGGCGTGTACAACTCTAACCCAGTAGTAGCACAGAGGGTGTCTGGTGTGGCTGAGGAGGTGCTGCTCTCCAACCGGAAGCCTTCGCCACCAGAGTCTACCTCACTGTCTGGTGTCCTTCCATACCTGAACCCATCCAGCACAGACCTCCTCACAATGGAACAAGTCACTGCACCTTGACTGGACTTGAAAGGCGAATGTGAACTTGCCCTGTGTGTGTCCCGATTCTTCTCAGCGCCTCTGAAGAAAGACAAGAGCTTCGTCTGGGTTGGTTCCGTGTTCGCAGGATTAGCAGCACGTGACTTACCCCCCGTGCCTTGGCCGTTCTGCATGGAAAAAGCAGTCTTTAAACCACTTAGGTTGAGAGATGGCCTAGAGCCTGGTGCCCCTGGGTTTGAATCCCCTCTGGTTTCCAGAACAGTCTCAGATGCCAGAAGTACCTGGCACACTTCCCCTTCAGATGAAACCCCTGCTGAACTGTAGGACTCTTTTGAAATGTGTTTACTGGTCGTGGAGAACGATGTCTGGTTGAGGCTGATTTTGTTGACTCCGCTCTCATACATGGCTGTTAGAGAGCTCTTGATAATGGCCAGCAGCAGCTTCTCCTCCTGTAGGAAGACCTGACGCTTATCCGGAGTCACATTCACATCCACACATTCTGAAGCGACGGTGATGTTCAACGCCACAAACGGATACTGATGTCTGTTAAACGTGTGATACACTTCGTTCACAAGCTTAGAGATCTTAGAGGGATCACACGGCCGCTTGTTGACGTAGTAGAACTGTCTGTCCACTGCACTGCGGCCAACTCCGTGGTCCCCTCGCGACACAAAACCAGAGATGGCGAAGAGGTCGTTGGGCAGCTCTGCGTGACCTAGACCATAGTCCTCCTTCACGGTGTCTGTAGGGGAGAGCTGCTGGAAAGGAAGCAGACTCTGCAACTGTTTGGGGCCAAAGATGGCCCCGATGTTGTCCTTCATACCACGGCCGCCATTGGTAGAGAGGACAGGGACGCGTTTGCCGTGTCCCGTCTGGTTGGTGCAGGTGATACGAACCCCTGTCGAGACGATGCAGTAAGACTGGAGCACGTGAATCGCCTTGCTGTATTCCTGCACACATGACAAAAACGTTCCGTGTGGAAAATTCAGGATGAAACCAGGATCAAACCGCGGTAACTTTCTACTAACGACTGACCTTTTTGATGTTGCGTTGGAACTCTTTGTGTCGGACGGGCAGAGTATAAAAGAGCTGACCCAGGCTGACCGTTGTGCCCTTCTGTCTAGGGTGGGGTGAACGCTGGGTCAGGTGACCACTGTGGTCAAACACTAGCCTGGTGCCCACCTGGGCAGCCTCGTGACAGGTCACCACAGTGAGGTCACTGGAGAGGAAGAGTACAATAGGAAACCTGCACCTGAAGCTGTCCAAAATGAGAGCACGTCTCTTGGTATTCAGCCTTGAAATTAACTAACTAAGTTAAGTTCTCCTTTTCATACAAACCGGTGATAAAACACTGCTTTACCTGAGGGCACAGAGAGAGCTGAGGGCTTCTCCTCGAAAGCCAAATGTTTCCACATGGAGAAGGTCGGTGAAATCCCTCAGCTTCGAGGTGTGGTGCTTCAAGGCTGTCAGCAGGAGAAAAATCAAGGGCCTAAATACGATAACAGTATCCTATGGATACAGTTCAGAATAATAACGTATGCAATACATTAGAAAAAAATTACAAATGTAGTTACTCACTTAATCCTTCAAAATTAGCTTCTTCCACACCTTTGCCGTTGTCAGACACTTCCACAAGTTCTATACCGCTGTCCTTCAATTTAATGTCTAAAAGTAAAAGTTAAAAACAACTAAATATCAGCGAACCATGCAATTTTTATATCTGTAACATGCATTTACAGAACAAGAACTCTACCCCAGTATTAAAGGGTAACTTCATTTGAATTCAATCATAATATTTTTTTGTGGTCTTCTTAACAACTTTCTGTACTGCTGCAGCAGGTATTTCAACCCGACAAACGTCTCTTTAAGCAGAAACCTTATCCACGTTATGTCTAGATAATAGATATATGTAATAGATAATACTTACCAACATTAGTAGCCCCTGAGTCAATACTGTTCTCAACCAGTTCCTTGACAGCTGTGGCCAGGGTCAAGACCACTTGCCCAGAGCAGATCTGATGCACAGACTGCCTGTCAATAGCCTTGATCGCTCCAGCAGGTTCTGAACTGCTGAAAAGTAGAATTATAACATCGCTTTGGTACAGCAGGGATCGAGGTAGTACCAATACAAAACCATGTCCAATAGCAGTTCCGTGTTCAGGACACTTATTTGTGTACTGGTACGGGGACCACTTACCTTTGATCCGTCATCTTGACTGGTATAATAACCAAAAAGCCGGCTAGCTAACTGTCATTTTGACCACAAGAAACATGTACATCTAAAAAACAACCATTCTTGATGGACATGAAATGTCTACTATTATCTGCAAAACAGCACTGACATCACCTTCACGTAACCAATGTCTCCGCGCGTGTAAACGTTGTTTTGATTGGACCTTTCTTCTTCTCGGATTTTCTACCGCAGTTGATAACCAGGTTT